ACGAACGAACGAACGAACGAACGAAACGAACGAACGAACGAACGAACGAAACGAACGAACGAACGAAACGAACGAACGAACGAACGAACGAACGAACGAAACGAACGAACGAACGAAGAACGAACGAACGAACGAACGAACGAACAAGAAACGAACGAACGAACGAACGAACGAACGAACGAACGAACGAACGAACGAACGAACGAACGAACGAACGAACGAACGAACGAACGAACGAACGAACGAACGAACGAACGAACGAAAGAACGAACGAACGAAACGAACGAACGAACGAACGAACGAACGAACGAACGAACGAACGAACAACGAACGAACGAACGAACGAACGAAGAACGAAGAACGAACGAACGAACGAACGAACGAACGAACGAAGAACGAACGAACGAACGAACGAACGAACGAACGAACGAACGAACGAACGAACGAAAACGAACGAAAACGAACGAACGAACGAACTAACGAAACGAACGAACGAACGAACGAACGAACACAACGAACGAACGAACGAAAAACAACGAACGAACAACGAACGAACAAAAGAACGAACGAACAACGAACGAACGTAACGAACTAACTAACTAATCTACATAACTAACTAACTAACTAATAAACTAACTAACTAACTAAACTAACTAACAAAAAGAACTAACTAACTAACGAACGAACTAACTAACATAAGTAACTAACGAACTAACTAACAACTAACTAACAACTAACTAACGAACCTACTAACTAACTAACTAAACTAACTAACTAACTTAAGTAAGTAAGAACGAACGAACGCGAACGAACGAACGAACGAAACGAAAACAACGAACGAAACGAACTAACGAACGAACGAACGAACGAAACGAAACGAACGAACTAACGAAACGAACTAACTAACGAACTAACGAATGACACGTAACATAACGAAAAACAAACGAACTAACGAACGAACGAACAACGAACGACGAACGAACTAACTAACTAACTAAACTAAATAACTAACGAACTAAATCTAACTAACGAACTAACAACTAACTAACTTACCTAAACAAGTTTTTTGATAAACTCTTCCTTTAAAAACTAATTTTTTAAATGTAAACTAGCTATTTTAATTATAAATTGTTTCTTCTTTTAGAAACTTTAAATCGAGCTTTCTTGGTAAACAAATTTCGACCCATTGCCTTATTTCAAATTTTCATAAAAAGATTTTGAAAAAATCTTGCTTCAATGATCTTCTAACTAAATCTTTGAGAGAAGTTTGTAGACATTTTTTGATAACATCTTCCTTTAAAACTAAATTTTTAATAAAATTCTCTCTTGTTAGAAATTTTTCTTCTTTTAGAAAGTTTTAAATCAGAGCTTTTCCAATAAAAAAATTTCGACAATATTTTCTTGTTAGAAAAATTTCGACCACATTTTCTTGTTAGAATATGTTCAAATAACAACGTCTTTCTTTTGATACAAAATCGTTATTTAAATTCTCTCTCATAACATTTTTTTCGAAATTTTTAGACGAAATTTTGTTTTTAGATTGTACTATGATATATTCTATTTTTAGAAAATTTTCAGTAGAATTATCTTTTTTTTTTTAAAAAATTTATATGTTAGAAAATTTTATATAAAATTTTTCTTTAAGAAACAGTTTCTATAAAATTTCCCTTTTGAAGATTTAAAAAAATATAATTTTGTGCACTATTGAAAACATCAGCACATAAATATGTCAATTAACCGTCGTAAAATTCTTTTATGCACACTCCCTAAAGGACTACTGCAACTCTACTAATATTCATTTAAATAACTGAAGTAATACAGACAAATGCAAAGGAATTTAAAACTACTTTAGGGTGCCTTTTTTGGTGAATTTCTACCACATACTAGTCTTTGTTTATAAAAATGCAAATTCATCAGCAAGACTTTTTCACTTTGGTTTAACTATAGACAAAAGCAAGTATGTCAGTAGAAATTTTTTGCACATATTCACTCTGTCTTCTCAAAAACACCCCTCTCCCCCAATTTTATGGTAATTTTTGTTTTAAACTATTTTTAGTTGAAATATAATTTTAGTTTTTTTTCTGGTTTTTTCTTACATTTTTGATATTTATAGAGAAATATGTTTTATATATCCTGTTTAGTTTTTTTCTCTATGTGTTATGTTTTATTTTAAAAGATGATGATTTATTATAGACCTACTTCTTAAATACATACATGTAAGAGTGTTTGGGTAGATACGTATATATATGTGTATATATTTAACCTGTGAGTGTGTTGGATACCAAATGTTTTCATATCATTTACTAGCACCCATATGCCAACATATTTTGTTAGTATTTATGTATGTTTGGTTACTGTGTGTATGCGTTTATAAGTATTATACAAATGTCATTGACTTTTGTTTATGTTTTTCTTTATTTATACAGATGTATATATGTATGTTAGTGTGAGTGTTAGTATCAACTTAAGTAGTAAATTTATATTTATTTTTGACAGTATGAGAGAGTTTTGTTTTATGTTTCTAAGTGTGTGTGTAAGTTCAAGATAGTGCTACTTTTAACTTTAAATTCCCATTTATTTTGTTTTAATGTTTGTTTTTTTATGATTATTTTTTTTTGTTTCTCTTCCGTTTTATGTATGTGTTATAAAACAAGTATAAAATGTATTATTTGTTTTGTTGTATTTTTATTTGAAAGTTGTTAAACAATATGTCAAATGGAAATGATATGTTGCTTTTATAATTTCTCTTGTCAACAATTTGTATTAAGTGTTGGATAGATATGTTGAAAAAAAACTAAGGAATATATTTGACATATAAATGAATGTAATAAACTTAAATAGATGTATGTTAAGTTGTTGTATTTTATATTATAAATTCAATAGATTTAAAATAAAAACATATAAAATTTCTTGTATTTGCAAATTGTTTCTTTTATAGCATGAGTTCAAAGATTACAAAATAATCATACGCCTAGTGGTCTATAATGAAATAAATAATAATCATACGCAGTGATGATTTTAAGTTCCCACTGATTTAATAAATTTTATTCAAACGAATACAAGAGATACTTTCATTTCAATAGTTGTAACTAACTAATGGTCAATAGTCCTAACTTTAGAATGGTCTATAGTCGTAACTATAGACTGGTCTATAGTCGCAACTATAGAATAGTCTATAGTCATAATTCTAGACTCTTCTATAGTCGTAAATATAGACTGGACTATAGTCGTAATTATAGACTGGTCTATAGTCGTAACTATACAACTGTAGACTGGTCTGAAGTCATAACTATAGATTTGTCCATAGTCGTAACTATAGACTGGTCTATAGTCGTAACTATAGACTGGTCCATAGTCGTAACTATAGACTGGTCTATAGTCGTAACTATAGACTGGTCTATAATCGTAACTATAGACTGGTCTATAGTCGTAACTATAGACTGGTCTATAGTCGTAGCTATAGACTGGTCTATAGTCGTAGCTATAGACTAGTCTATAGTCGTAGCTATAGACTGGTCTATAGTCGTAGCTATAGACTGGTCTATAGTCGTAACAACAGACTGGTTTGTAGTCGTAACTATAGACTGGTCTATAGTCGTAACTGTAGACTGGTCTATAGTCGCAACTATTGACTGATCTATAGTCGTAACTATAGACTGGTCTATATTCGTTACTATAGACTGGTCTATAGTCGTAACTATAGACTGGTCTATAGTCGTAATTATAGATTGGTCTAAAGTCGTAAATATAGACTGGTCTATAGTCACAACTATAGACTGGTCTATAGTCATAACTATAGACTGGTCTATAGTCATAACTATAGACTGGTCTATAGTCATAACTATAGACTGGTCTATAGTCGTAATTATAGACTGGTCTATAGTCGTAATTATAGACTAGTCGTAACTATAGACTGATCTATAGTCGTAACTATAGACTGCTCTATAGTCGTAATTATTAGCTAGTCGTAACTGTGGACTAATCTATAGTCGTAACTATAGACTGATCTATAGTCGTAACTATAGACTGGTCTATAGTCGTAACTATAGGCGGGTCTATAGTCGTAACAATAGACTGGTCTATAGTCGTAACTATAGACTGGTCTATAGTCGTAACTATAGACGGGTCTATAGTCGTAACTACAGACTTGGTCTATAGTGGTAACTACAGACTGGCCTATAGTCGTAACTATTGACTGGTGTATAGTCGTAACTATAGACTGGTCTATAGTCGTAACTATAGACTGGTCTATAGTCATAACTAGGAATTCATAAATAGTAGCAACTATAAGCTTAGCTATGGTATTTAGTAGTAACTAAGGACTAGATTCTAATCATAACTATAGACTAGTGATGACTATAAGCTTATCTATAGTCTCTATTATTAACTATAGATCATTTTCTGGTCTATAGATAGTGAAGGAAAAATTCTAAAAAATTGATTCTTATTAAATTAGATTTTGCTTTTATATATTACATATTCAATACAAATGCATAATATCCAACTACAGTACAGTTGTGTAGGATGTAAATATTTGAGTGATTAAATTTATAGTTAGATCAACAATGTTTTATGTAACGCAGCTATTTTCCTAAAGAGAAAATTAATAATTGAAAAACACAAAAGAGACTTCATTAGTAAATGTTTTCAGGCAAAAATTTAAATTAATAAATAATGTTAATTAACACACAGACTAAAATATAAACACTCAAACTCTTAGTTAAACATAAAAGTGTATAGAATAATAAATATAAATTTCGTATATGTAAAGGTATTGTTTGATAGCTGTCATTTTACCACATACTTTAAAATCTTCTTGTAAAGTATTATTTATACATATTTACATACGTAGGGAAAGTATTTATATATATTTACATACACATTTGTATGAAAAACATTGCCTATACTATAGCTTTGTTAATTTATATATATTTAACCTGTTTATATTTTATGGTTTAACATTTATTTATATGCTTTTCTTGTTTCCTTTAATTTTCCAGACACACCAATTTGCAAACATTTAGATCGTGTCATCTTAATTGGCGCCTCAAAGGATGAAACTGTCGAAGTTGCGTGTGAAATACAAGCGGATCCACCACCCAGGTATTTTGTCACTTTCAAAATTTTGTTTAACATTAAGTAAATATACATACATGCATACACATAATTGATGAAGACACACAATTACAGTTTTATATACACATACAGACATATTATACTTGTATCATATTTACAGTAAAGTAAATCAATGATTTCTTTCTTAAACTTCTCACTTAAGAGTAAGTCAATGAACACAATAAAAATACTATAGACTATTTATAGCTCCAGTTCAGATCTAGTTCAGTTCTAGTTTAGTTTCAGTTTAGTTCTAGTTAAGTTCTAGTTCAGTTCTAGTTCAGTTCTAGTTCAGTTCTAGTTCAGTTCTAGTTCAGTTCTAGTTCAGTTCTAGTTCAGTTCTAGTTCAGTTCTAGTTCAGTTCTAGTTCAGTTCTAGTTCAGTTCTAGTTCAGTTCTAGTTCAGTTCTAGTTCAGTTCTAGTTCAGTTCTAGTTCAGTTCTAGTTCAGTTCTAGTTCAGTTCTAGTTCAGTTCTAGTTCAGTTCTAGTTCAGTTCTAGTTCAGTTCTAGTTCAGTTCTAGTTCAGTTCTAGTTCAGTTCTAGTTAAGTTCTAGTTCAGTTCTAGTTCAGTTCTAGTTCAGTTCTAGTTCAGTTCTAGTTCAGTTCTAGTTCAGTTCTAGTTCAGTTCTAGTTCAGTTCTAGTTCAGTTCTAGTTCAGTTCTAGTTCAGTTCTAGTTCAGTTCTAGTTCAGTTCTAGTTCAGTTCTAGTTCAGTTCTAGTTCAGTTCTAGTTCAGTTCTAGTTCAGTTCTAGTTCAGTTCTAGTTCAGTTCTAGTTCAGTTCTAGTTCAGTTCTAGTTCAGTTTCTAGTTCAGTTCTAGTTCAGTTCTAGTTCAGTTTCTAGTTCAGTTCTAGTTCAGTTCTAGTTCAGTTCTAGTTCAGTTCTAGTTCAGTTCTAGTTCAGTTCTAGTTCAGTTCTAGTTCAGTTCTAGTTCAGTTCTAGTTCAGTTCTAGTTCAGTTCTAGTTCAGTTTAGTTCAGTTCTAGTTCAGTTCTAGTTCAGTTCTAGTTCAGTTCTAGTTCAGTTCTAGTCAGTTCTAGTTCAGTTCTAGTTCAGTTCTAGTTCAGTTCTAGTTCAGTTCTAGTTCAGTTCTAGTTCAGTTCTAGTTCAGTTCTAGTTCAGTTCTAGTTCATTTCTAGTTCAGTTCTAGTTCAGTTCTAGTTTCAGTTCTAGTTCAGTTCTAGTTCAGTTCTAGTTCAGTTCTAGTTCAGTTCTAGTTCAGTTCTAGTTCAGTTCTAGTTCAGTTCTAGTTCATTTCTAGTTCTAGTTCAGTTCTAGTTCAGTTCTAGTTCAGTTCTAGTTCAGTTCTAGTTCAGTTCTAGTTCAGTTCTAGTTCAGTTCTAGTTCAGTTCTAGTTCAGTTCTAGTTAGTTCTAGTTCAGTTCTAGTTCAGTTCTTTAGTTCAGTTCTAGTTCAGTTTCAGTTCAGTTTAGTTCAGTTCTAGTTCAGTTCTAGTTCAGTTCTAGTTCAGTTCTAGTTCAGTTCTAGTTCAGTTCTAGTTCAGTTCTAGTTCAGTTCTAGTTCAGTTCTAGTTCAGTTCTAGTCAGTTCTAGTTCAGTTCTAAGTTCTAGTTAATCTAAGTTCAGTTTCTAGTTCAGTTCTAGTTCAGTTCTAGTTCAGTTCTAGTTCAGTTCTAGTTCAGTTCTAGTTCAGTTCTAGTTCAGTTCTAGTTCAGTTCTAGTTCAGTTCTAGTTCAGTTCTAGTTCAGGTTCTAGTTCAGTTCTAGTTCAGTTCTAGTTCAGTTCTAGTACAGTCTAGTTCAGTAGTTCAGTTCTAGTTCAGTTCTAGTTCAGTTCTAGTTCAGTTCTAGTTCAGTTCTAGTTCAGTTCTAGTTCAGTTCTAGTTCAGTTCTAGTTCAGTTCTAGTTCAGTTCTAGTTCAGTTCTAGTTCAGTCTAGTTCAGTTCTAGTTTAGTTCTAGTCAGTTCTAGTTCAGTTCTAGTTCAGTTCTAGTTCAGTTCTAGTACAGTTCTAATACATACTAGTTTAAATCTAAATCAGTTCTAGTTCAGTTTAGTTCAGTTCTAGTTCAGTTCTAGTTCAGTTCTAGTTCACTTCTAGTTCTGGACTAGTTCAGTTCTAACTCAGCCCTATTTCAGTTCTAGTTTAAATCTAATTCAGATTCACTCCTTTAAAATATCATTTGGTTTTACATTCAAATGTTTGTGGTTGTGGCTGGAGGGGTAACGAATTTCTACTAGAGTTTGAGTGTGAGCTTTCGCGATAATATTTTTTAGAAACGAATATTTCTAGGTATCTTAATGTGAAAATGGTTAAATGTTTAAAGCAAAAAATGGGACTGATTGTCACCCCACCACAACCACACAATTCATAAACACACATACTTAAAGCATCAACGCTTGTTAAACTTCCTGCAAAAAAACAGGAAACATTTGATTAATGTTGCAAAAGATTTTCATCAACATAAAAGCAAGGAATTTAAATAAAAAGAATAAAATTTAAACGAAGAAACGAAGAAATACAAACATTAACAAAATTTTTTGTGTTTCTTGCTTTTACTTCTTTTATAAAAGACATAAAGAAGATGACGTGTTTTTTAAAAGTTGGTGAAGAATATGTCAAAGTGTGTGTATTTTGTTTTATACCCTATAACCCAGCAAATTGGGATTCATCGTTTATGTACGTAGACTTTTCGAACTATATGTAAGTTTCTAAAACAGGCAGCACATTTTGAAATAATGTGGGGTATTTGAAATTCGTTAAGAATTTTTAAAATTAGTTTTATTATTGAAAATCTTAAAGATTTCTTTAAAGTGATTTCTTTGCAAATAAGGGTCGTTTAACGAAGGTTTTCCTTTTCTTTAGTTGCTATTACGTTATGTTGTTATTGATGAATATCAAAAGTGTTGGTTAAATATTATTTTGGAAATTTTAAATTTGTTATGGTTTTCTTAACGAGCAAAAGAAATATGAAAGGTTGCATATTTTAAAATAGGATTTGGTTACGAGAAGTATGAGGGAAAGAAGAAATGATCTAAATCATTGTTGTTTAAAAAATGTAAAATTTTTAAATTTGTTGTCAGTAACAGTTATTAAAAACTGACCATTTCCAATTTCCGTTTTAGAGTTAAAAATTCATTTAACATTTGCTTTAAATATTTGTTCAAAAGTCTTAAAATAACACAGCTTGAAGACTTTAGTATTCTTAACTAACTTGCTAAATATTTTTTGAAAAAAGCTCTTTTCATCTTGTCTAAATTTTTTCTCTATAAACAGTAAAATTAATTTATCAACATCAATGCCATCGTTTTCTTTACAATTATTATTAAAAATTTAAAAAAAAGATGAATAATGTTTGTTAGGAAAATGTTTTATGCTGTAATATCCCGCGTTTTTTTCCGTTGTGGAAAATAGAATCCATTTTAAATATTAATATTTGTTTAAGTAAACAGAAAAGTAAAATATTAATTTCCTTTTAGAAAATCTATTAAATGTATATTTTTCATTGAAAAAATATTTTTCATTTTATTTATAATATTTTATAGAATAGTGTTGAAAGTAAAGAGGAGAAATGTAGGGAATTCAATGAGTATATGGTATCAAAGAAAAAAGTAATGAATTAATTACTTCATCATAATCTTAATCCTCAAATACTAAGTTCTATATACAAAATCGCTGGAGCAATATCTTGGTTAAATGCTTATGGTCTAGAGCCTAGTTCGAGTCAACAAATAAATCCTATTGGGTCCTCATATAATGACATTAGGCCCACCTTGTTAAATTAATCAGTCAGGGCCAAACGGTCACTGATGTTACAAGTTCATAAGTACTTAGCAACGCATGAGAGAAAATCGATTTTCCGCCTTCTGATAACATTACCAAGTAATACTTTATTTGTATTTAAATAATAGCAACAAGAAAACAGCTATGCATTCATAATCTCTAACAGTTTTTTGGTTTTTTTCTCCTTGCATTATCGATTTTTCCTCTTTAATCTTAAATAAGAATACATTTTTCCAAAGCTAAATTATTTTTACATTTCTAGCAATATTACACATACATTTATACATACATTATTGCACAAACAAATTAGTTTTATGTAAAGTCATTACTTTACAACATTTCCATGTAAATATAGATAACATAGATATAATTCTGAATATATAACAAACAAGCGTATGATCTTATATCAACTGAACTCGTAGTCCACAGTTAGCTAACGTTCATCCTGCACATTGGAAATACATATAAATTCTATATTAGAAATTCACTTTAAAATTTCATAAGTTTATTTGTGTATTGTAAATTAACACGAACAGGTGATGTACATAAAACAAATCATTATGTACAGGTGTTTGCTCACAGATGCTAAAATGGAGTAATAAAACAAATACTGAATATTAAATGCATATGAAGGTTGCTATTACATACAAGCAGACAAATATTATTATAACCATAAGTATGTATGTGTGTGGGTGTATATACTAATACACCTTTGTAAATAATTTTCAAATTACTTATAACAGACTACTTGGTTTAGTAGAACAGCAGCCACTGTACGTTTCTCTTTCTACACACATACAAGGATATTGCTGCTATTCTTGTTAGTATTTGCTAGGATATATGTCATTTTTGAAGACATTTTGAAGATGAGTGAATTGTGTTGCAAATAAAACATACTAATGATACGTATGAGCCACTTTTGTGGCATATTTCATGCACATTCAAATAACCAACCATCCATCCATCTACCCAACTAAAGCCAGTCAGTTATTTCTACATACAGACAACAATATCATAGCAACGGCAATTGAAAATCACTAGTAGAATACAACTCACATCGAAAAATGCAGATCTTGTTTATAAACCAAATGAGTGTGTTGATGAGTAAAGTAGGTTGATAATAAATTTTCACTTTCAGTTAGTCTCTTTGAAATTAAGTCCGTAGCAGAGATGACTTTAAGTACTAAATGGGAATCTTCAATGTGATATATGGTATAATTTAAATAGTATTGCTGAAAAACGTGTGCAT